AAAAAATTATAGAAATTCATCATTTTCATCTCCATTATCATGGATCTAGACATAAAAGAAAATTCCAGTCCTCAAAAGAGCATCTCACAACTCTTCTTCTGAACCGCCTATTTCAAGTCTTCATAGAACCATCAAATTTGAACTATTTTCGAAGGTCGAAATCAGCGGTCATAACCAAAACAAGATTTGGAGGTCATCATGAGGTTTTCTGACCATAGATCTAGTTCTTGTTGGTGACCTTTTGAGTTACGGGTGTGCGGCCTATCAAAACCTTAACCCTTAAAATTATAGTATTTTATGGAATGGAAAATGGTTTGATAAGGCTGCAGCAAATCAAAATAAGTAAAACCTCACCTCATAACTCATCAAAAATTGCAATTCAAGTATTTGAAAACCTTCACATTGATCATCTCGACCTGAACATTATGATTGTGAAAAAAATTAGGATTTTAAGCTCTAAAAATGATGTATATTATAATAAATTATCTAGATCATCAATTTTGTTCTAAAAATAAGTGTTCACATATCTGCAAGATCTGTGCCGCTTTTTTAGTTTCAAATTTTATCATCAGTGCTGAAAATTGATTATAGAGCCATTATGACGATTTTCACTGCCAAAAGTACCTTCCGATGAGGATTTGAGATGAGGCTTTATGTTGTTTTCATAAAGCCTAAGCCTTACAAAAACCTCATCCGTTAGGTATACATCATGTAGTTTTAAATTCAGTTAAATGACATCTTAAACTAACCACGACATCTAACACTCTCAAATTTGACCAAACATTTTACTAGTCGCCAATTATTAACTTGGGGCAAGTAACCATGTTGAAATAAAAAAATACCAAAAAATGGTGTTATCGGACATCTTCGGGAATAGTAATATTTAGGAGACCAAGTTAACTCCTCTGTTCAAGGATAACGCCATGAGTTCTATTCCTATCATGCGAAGGAGACCCCTTCTCTCTAAATTACCATTTGGTTGAAGGCCCCTGACCCCTGAATTACCAAATAAAAAATAAAAAAATACGAAATCCATAGCAAACTAATAGTCTAAGGGGATATATCAAGACATGGGTATTTCTAAAAACACATATATTAACATTTTATCCATATCTTTTGATTTAATATATATGATCATGAGTTAGAACTGTTGAAAATAAATGAAATATTAAATAATTGATATGTAAAGAGTATTTTGTTAAGCTTCGTATAAAGAAGAAAATTTGAGATATGCCCTATTTTATACATCACCTTAACAAGATTAATGAACAAAATAAATAACGAGGAATAAGGAATTGGGCTTGTGCTTGAGTGGTTTGCAGTTGAATTAACAATATTACATCTTAAGTTTGATTCCTACCACTAAACTACCAAAAAACATAAAAAAGATTCTCTCACACTGGAGATGACATGTAGTATAAATGTACAAAAAAAGAAGTAAAATTATGCATCACTACGGATTCAGGCTTAGACATGATTGGTTATGGTGTTGACTATTACAACACTACGTCTCAAGTTCAAAGCCTACTGGTAAACTACACGAGTAAAATGAAAAAAAGGAAAATAGGAAAAAAATCATTTTTAAGAAGATGAAATCAAATGTGTTAATATTGTAGATTGTACTCAAATGGCAGTTGAATTGTGATTTTATGCACACGAGCTATTGTATCATGTTTTTTGTATATGATGATCCAACAACTTGTCTTCATAAAACCAGTATCCAATGATCATATATTATATCCTTGATTAGATTGTTTCTCTATATAGTCTGTAAGTCAATGGGTTTATACCTATTGTTGATTCGAACTCCAACATGCATATATGGGTTACTTTTTTTGGGATGAAATTTTACGCAATGTTTTTTTTCAAAAAAAAGCCTATAAAGAGGTCATTTATTTTTCATACAAGAAGGTCAATATTACTATCGTCAATCAGATTTCAAATTGGGTGATTGTAAGTATGTTATTGATTAGACTCAAAGTTTAAAAACAATTTCTTGAACTTTTTATCATACCTTAAGCCGCATATTTGACATCCAATAGTTAGTAACAATTGTGACCTCCTTTTAATATAGATAAATAGTTTCATAGTATATAATCTTTTTTTTATATAAAAATAAATAATTTTTAAAATACATAGATTTTAAGTTCTTAAAGAACCAGATCCACCATCTACTAAATAAACAATCTGCATTTACTAAAATTGAAATACGAATTTTCCTCCTTTTTTATATTATTATTATTATTATTATTATTATTATTATTATTATTATTAGGGTGCGGTCTCTATAAGGTTGCAACCTTGAACAATCCAATTAAGGCGCACCTCCAAATTTTATTGTAATATGTAATTTTGTTGTAAATAATTCTTAGGATTATCTTAAAATCTATTTTTATATCTAATTAGAAAATTTTAAACTTAAAAAATAGTTAAAATCATGGAGATCTATAAACATATAAAATTCTTAAAAATGGACGGCCTATATAATGTATTGCAAGATACACTATTTTTTAGGCTCGAAAACTTTTATTTTTTATATTCATACATCTCGATGTCGAAATTATCAAATGGAGAGTTTTTCAACATTAAAACAACCTTTCCGATAGATTTTTGAGGTGCACCTGTACTACACATTTTAAGGTTGCAACCTTATTATAGCCACCCAGCTGAAATCAACACGCATGCAAAACTCAGCGTCAGACAAACCCAAACCTTGCTAAATCAGTTACACGGTATTATCATGCTACATTAATCCCATTGAGCTTCATATTCTATTTCCCAATAAAACACATAATACCAACACTGCCCCCCTGCCCGTTTATTTTCTAGTGCATTAAGGATGCTTTTGTTAAGAATTCTAACCAAAAAAATTGGACATAAGAGTTGATACAAAATAAGAATATTTCCATTAAGGGTGAAGTTTGTACAAGATTTAGAAAACTAGCAATCTAGATCGGAATCGGGTGGTTCCGATCTCGAAACTGGCTGGGCTAGTTCGGTTCCTGCAAAATATTAGAAACCGGTTGGTTTTGGCCAATTCGGTTATGTCAGATAACTTGCTAGAACCGGTCCTACATTTATTTTGTAATTTTCTCAATTTTTTTGCTCTAGATTTTTTTTCTTTATTGTTCAATTCACTAGGCGGATCGCCAATCTGGACCACTGATTCAAACTAGTTCTTCGGATGGGCAATCCAAGTCACCAATCCTTTTTTTTAACCTTGGATTTGTATAAGACTCAAATATGTAGAGGCACACCTCGAATTTTACTAGGAGATAAAATTCCAATATAGAAACTCTATGATGGTTTGAAAATTTATTTTCATTTGTAGATATGAAATTTAAAATTTTCAAAGATAGTACAAATCGAGGAGATTCATAAATGCTTGAAAATCTTGAAAATAGATGGTCCAGATAATTTCTTTTAAAATGCACTATTTTTAAGACTTCTTTTTATAAAAAAATATAATAAAAATTCCCTTTTTAAGATGCACTATTTCTATAACCTCATTTTTTTTCTTTTCATACATAAATCTTGATCAATTAGTGGGTTTTCAACACACCACAATAGTTATGAGGTGCATATGAAATATTTCAGTAGCATAGACACCTTGTAGAAATTTTTTCCTTTTAATAATTAAAAAAAACAATAACGCAAGGGCATTTTGGTCGTATTTTCTAGTTGACTAAGTGTTCAACATGAAAAGAACATATCTGACCCCACCTGCATTATTAAGAAATATCAAATCCCTTTTTTTCACATAAAAAATAAAATAAAAAATAGAAATAAAAAAACTTCAAAAAATATTTTACAAAACATCAGAAAAATTAGATAAATACAATAAACATATTAAATAAATACAATAAATGAATAAACACAAAAAAAGGTTTGGCTGCTGATAATAGAGGGTTTGAATATATAATTTACAAAACACCAGAAAAATTAGACACACTCATATTATAAAAAAAATTAAATAAATACAATAAACACATTAAATAAAAGTTGCGGTTTCTATGAGGTTGCAAACAATCCAATTAAGGTTGACCTCCAAATTTTATCATAACCTGTAATTTGTTGTAAAAAAATCTTACAATTAACTTAATATCTATTTCCATATCTAATTAGAAATTTTTAAACTCCATAAATGGTTAAAATCAAAGAAATCTATAAACATATGAAAATCTTGAATATGGACGGTCTAGATAATATATTACAAGATGCATTATTTCTGAGACTTCAAAACTTTTTTTTATTTTATATACATACATCTCGATGTCAAGATGATCAAATAGAGGTTTTCCAATATTAAAACAACCTTTCCGATGGATTTGTAAGATGCATATGTAATTTTATATTTTTAAAATTGTAACCTTATATAAACTTTTCTCATAAATAAATACAATAAAAGGCTTGGCTTCTAATAATCGAGGGTTTGGATTTCACTCCGTGTGGGAAGCGTGGATACGTGGACCCATCTGAGATTCGCGTACAAAAGTCGTGCCATTATAGATAGTTATTCTCATCTTTTACATCAATTAAAATTGAAAAAAATTTATATGAGGTTGCAACTTAAAAATGTAGACTTACGTATCCACCTCAAAAATCTATTGAAAAAGTTGTTTTAATGATGACAAATCATCCATTTGATCATCTCAATATTAAGATGTATAAATATAAAAAAAAAAAAATTGATTTTTAAAAATAGCTCATCTTACAACATATTACTTAGACTATTTAATTTTTAGATTTTCATATGTTTATAGATCTCTTTGATTTTAACTATTTTTGAAATTTAAAATTTTTAATGAAATATAAAAATAAATTTAAAATAATACTAAAAAAATTTTACAATAAAATTATATATTATGATAAAATTTGTAGGTACACCTTAATTGGATTGTTTAAGGCTGCAACCTTTTAGAAACCGCACCCATTAAAATTTCGTCCTAATTTTTCATTTTTTTTCACTGACTCGTGCTTTCATATTTCCGAGGAGATGGAGAGAGAGAGGAGATAATTTTAGAGAGAGAAAGTTTCGTAGAGAGAGAGAGGATTTATGACGGTGATGATGCATTGGTTTCTACTTTTCCTGTGGTCTAAAATCAATTAAAAAGCCTTCTCATTATAAGAACCCTAAAACCTCTGGTTTTTATGGTTTTGTTAATGGTTTGTTATTGTTGTGCCCTGATGAGGAAGCTTGTTTTCTCTCTCATCATTTAAAGGGAGATTGAGCTAGAGAGAGAGGAGATGGATCAGGAGATGGGGAGTACGAGTGCTCGTCCTCGAGGGCAGGTCAGTGTTTTAGTGGTTGTTTTTCCTTTGTGGAATTCTTTTTGTATCCTGTTGATTGTTACTAAAGAGAAAGGACTATTGATTTGTTTGTGGATTTCTTTTTATATCTTCTTGTTTGTTTGTAGAGAGAGAGAGACGCATTGATTCTTTTTTGGATTTGTGGAGATTGAGTGGTGATTTTGCAGTGTTTGTTTATTTGATTATTGGAGTTGATTTCTTGAAAGAAAGACCCATTTATTGGAGTTGAACTCTTTTTATCGGATTAGTTGTGTTACTTTCCTATTGAATAAATTGAAACAAAACTTTGGGTTTCATTCATTTTTATTTATATAGGATTTGGGGAGGACAGTGAAAGATGAAACCTTAGGGAACTCGAAATCAACTATGAAAATTTGGGAGAAGAGAATCGGAAGGTTTTTAAAAGGAAGGGGAAGATTATTTGTCTATTGAAAGATTACTTTCTAAAATTAGTGTATAAATTTATTTTTTTGTTAGGGAAGAAGTGCGGTCTGTTTGTTTCCTATCATATTTTGATAGTTTTGTACATCTTTTCTTTATCAATGTACAAAATTTTGTTCACCTTGGAAATAGTTAAATTGTTATTGATTTCATTCAGCAAGGTTCTTTTAGTTGCTTTGCAGCCTAATAACCTAATTTTAAAATCATTGGAGAGTTTTTTCTTTTTCTCTTTTTTGGTATTATTAACTGATGGGGATTTCTATTCGAAACCTGAAAACTTGGGAATTCATGGTTCTTCCTTTGGCCTTAACTACTACCAGGTATCAGATGTGAGCAAGTAATGTACATTCTGTTTCCCACGTTTTTATTTTGAAAGAATTTTGACAATTTTGTTCTTACTCACACTTGCATATACACATGTAAACATGTAATCATATGTGCAAAATCATACATAAAGGCACTTACATACATACATGTATGTATGCATACATATGTGTTTGTGCATATGTTCTTAGTGTCATATATACCTATACCATAGGTATACTTTCTCAAGAATGAAAACAAAGAAATATTAAAAAAAAACACGTGTTGCACGTATATATGTGTGTCTATTGATTATTCAAGAGATAGATGGCAATATTTCCATAAAAAAATGATGGATAGCTATATAGGCAATTGTAGAAAATTTTAGGTTGAGGCTCATAGCAATTGATAAGCAACAAGAAACTGGAATTCTTATGGCTTTGTGAGGGCACACCAATTACTTTTGCTTCCAAATAGCCTCATGGTTTAACTTTACAAAGTGTATGGAAACTCGCCTCGGCCATGGAAATCAACTCACCCCCTGGCCAAGGCGAGTTACTCAAGACTCGACCAAGTCATGCACAAGGCTAAAACCCCCTAAGAAAATTGAAAAAATGAGAAAAAAATTTAAAAAAATTAAAAAAAGAAAAAAAAAATGTATTAAAAGCAAAATAAAACAAGAAAAAATTTTTAGGAGTCCAATTAAACTTAAAGAAGTACTTGAAAATGAATTTAGAAAAAACAGATTTATAGTTGGGGATCTTAAAAAATCCAAAAAAAGGCAAAATGTAAAAAATAAGGGTTTATGGAAAAAAACACTCACCAACTTTTTCCATATTCATCTAGATCATGTGACAAAAAATTGTATAACATAACCTGATTATTTAAAAAGGGGCACTCGACCTCATCCTAGTAATTTGTCCGAGTCCGAGTGGACTCGGTTGAGTCCCGGTACACTGACTTTACATATTCCTTCTTGTTTTGCTTTTCCTGCGGTGGGGAAAAACTCAACATCTTTTAGGATCTTAGGGTTTGCCACATTGTTTAGAGTGTTTTTAATTGAATATGAACGTAGATTTCCTGGATCTTTTTTATCTCTCTTTCTTAAATAAAAACTCTGCTTGTTATAGTGCTCTTCTTTGATTACATGCTTTGAAATTCTTATTTGTTTCACTCATCCTTTCTTTCGCTACTATTTAATTTGTTTGAACGAGCCAAACCTTGTTGATAAGAGACGTTCATGGCTTTTCACTTTTTCCCTTTTGTATTTAACTTCCAACAACTCTGTCTTTTTCCTTCTCAAAGCTTATGAATATAACTCAAAAACCATAATGCTGATGCATTGTCAAGTTTAGATCAGGACTTGCATATTCTGGAATAGTTTGAAAGATTATTTCACACTTTGTAGTATTACTATTTCTGTGCTAAATCATAGGGTTGGTTGTTATAGGTCTTCAACCTATCTCCTTTCCATTAAAACACTGGATACTGGCTGTGCAGGTTTCGTGGCATGACTACTGCAAGAATGTGCTACTTCTTGCTTATCAAAGTTTTGGTGTAGTTTACGGTGACCTGAGTACATCCCCTCTGTATGTATTCAAGAGCACATTTGTAGGAAAGTTACAGAACCATGAAAATGAAGATGCAATATTCGGTGCATTTTCCTTGATCTTTTGGACTTTCACATTGATCCCATTGTTTAAGTATGTTTTTATCCTGCTGAGTGCTGATGACAATGGCGAAGGTGGGTGCCAATCTATTTTTCTTTTCCAATTTGATATTGTGTTTCTCTCTCTTAAAGGTCATTGTTTCTAAGGCATAGTTTACAATGGCATCCTCGTCTCTATTGATACAGGGGGGACATTTGCTCTTTACTCACTCCTTTGTCGACATGCAAAGCTAAGTTTACTTCCTAATCAGCAAGCAGCCGATGAAGAGCTCTCTACTTATAAATATGGGCACTCTTCACAGGGAATTGTATCTTCACCATTAAAGAGATTTCTTGAGAAGCACAAAAGGCTTAGGATCGGCCTTCTCCTTATTGTTCTATTTGGTGCTTGCATGGTTATAGGTGACGGCGTTCTCACACCTGCAATTTCTGGTACCACAATCCTTCTATATATAATGGTAGCCATGTAATTTATTTGTAATTTTGTTTCTATTTGTTTCATTGTTCTGTTAAATAAAATATTTTATCTATTTTTGTCATTTCTAATAGAGAATTTATTATGGGATGCTTTGGAATTATGAATATTTGTAACATTGTCACAAAATTCTTGAATTTTTTACAACTTCATCTTTTTTTATTGAAAAATACCTGCAAAAATAAAATGAATAAACACATGTAAAACTGGGAAGCTTTATTTTCCTTGTCAATGTAGGACTAATGGGATCCTTTACAAGCAGACACCTTGAGCTGATATATCTGATAAAGTGGTTTCATTTCTTAACATGCATCCTCCAAAGGAACATGTTTGGCAGGCCTTCCATGCTATATGTTATTATTGCTTGGACAAAAACTCAGATTTTATGATCCCCACTATTTCTACGTTTCTTGCATCACAAGTAATCGAGTCTTTACGCTCCAAGTGGAGGATGCATGCTAAAAGTCTTCCATGTATTTAAAACAACAGAAACCAGGATGTCATTCTGTCAGAAAAATTACCTTGATACAAGCGATGTCTTCCATCAGATCATTATTTTGATTGGTCCTGTACTCCCCTAAGATCGGATTATTCTTGCAAAGAAATCTGGTGTTGTTCACTAATTTTACTTTTCTATATGAATGGCAATATGGACATCATTTGATTGCACTCCTTTCCTGCTATGTGCAGTTCTCTCTGCTATTTCAGGACTCAGAGTTTGTGCCGAGAAACTACATGACCGTAAGCATTTATAAGCGAGCTTTTCCGCACATAATGTTTGTCTACTCTTTATGTTCACAACTATCTTTGTTGGAAGTATACAGTAATTCAATGGGCTATGCAAAACAATATTCCATTGGACCATCACCATCCATTTTCTCAAAAAGTTTGACAGAGACAGAATGGGGCCAATCATTTTGGTCAGTCCCACTCTTTATCTCATCCATTGTTGTAATGGACAGGGATGGCCCAATGCACTTTACTTTGTCTATGTTCTGTTGGAGCACATTATGGTTCTTGCCAGTGTTTGAAAACTCGCCGAGTCAAAGCCGGAATTGTCCGGTTCGACTCGTGAATCGTCGGCTACCGAGCCGGTTCCACGAAAAAATCAAGAATCGCCCGTGTCCAGAGAGAACCGGGCGATTCCTGGCGATTCCCAATAGTAAAATCACGAGTATCACCGAAAATTTTTGGGTTCACACGTGGCCGCCTCGACACGTGGCACCTACAAACCCTCCACGCGTGGCAATTCACCTCGCTCGTATGCCCCCCTCGTTTTTCTACACGCGTGACTGAATGACTCGTACACAGCACTTTATAGAGAACAAAGGGTCTCTCATCCTTCGATGTGGGATAATTCCCACAAAAAGCCATTCAAGCAAGATGATTCAATATGTATTATATTATAGTTGCTAATGAAAAATTCAAGCGATGTGGTGGTGTTGGTTGACAACCTTGAATTTTCGTGCGGGCGTCTTGAGTTCGAACCCCGCGCATCGTCGTTTATAATACAATATTTTTTTTAAGATAAAGATGAAAAATAGAGATAAAGATAAAAAATAAAAAGCTTTTCAAGATAATGAATAAAAACTTGAAATAAAATAAAAAAAATAAAAAGCTTTTGTTGTTGTAAAAAAAGCTTAAAAAATAAAAAATAAAAAGCTTTTCAAGATAAAGATAAAAAATATAACACAACATTTTTTTATTTTTCTTGTAAAAAAAATGCAAGGTAATATAAAAAGTATTTCTTACAAAAAAATAAAACAAAAGGCATAAAAAAAAATTTTGGCAAC